CCCCCAGGCGCGGGCCCTCGCATCAAAGCATACCACATCGTAGTTGACGTAGCGGTCCGCGCCATCGAGCCCCTCCACGGACGCCAGGCAAGACATCTGCAGCCGCTTGAAGAGAGTGCTGCGATTGCCGAGGCCCTTGTGCTTGAACTGGGGCTGGAAAGCATTGGCTGCCTCCCCCAAGTCACGCAGCGCGCCCTGGAGGTTCGGCAGAGACTCGACGCGCTCCAGAGCCCCCAGCCGCCGCATCAGCAAGTCGACGCTGTCCTCGGTGGGCTGCGCGCAGCTGACTGGCGACTCCTCTCGCGGCACCAGGACCCCCGCGTCGCGGTCCTCGATGGGCCCGAGGACGGCGTCGTCGGCAAGGGCCTGAAGGGCGGCCGCCTGATCGGAACCCTGAAGGACTGGATCCGTTCCCGAGGCCGCGGCGGCCTTCCGCCTTCTCTTCTTGCGGGGCGGCTCCGCGTCCTCCCCGAGGGCCCCCCCCTCGGCGGCCGGGTCGCGGGCGCGACGGAGCGCCTGTTCCAGCGTGGCCGCGAAAGAGCCCCACGAAGTGAAGCAGAACAGGAACGGGCTCAGAGCAGCGCGCTCCCACCCGGCGGCGTGCAGCACGGACGCCGCAACAACGGCGGCTTCGGAGGCTATGCTGACAAAGTCGTCATCGGTGATGCCCCCCCCCGTAGGTAAGCCAGTGCTCGCAACTCGGGAGAGCCCCGCCGCTGACCACGACCACTCCGCCCAATTGTTCTTGGCGGCGAGAGCGTTCAAGTCCCTCGTCTTCTCGACCAAGTTCAGCATCTGGTTCACGCTGAGCTGGTCCGACGTCTGCGCTGTGCGGAGAACGCCGAAGAAGTACTCCAGCGGCAGCGTGGCGCAGCGGTGCGGAAAGGCAACGTTCCCGTGCTTCAGGACGAAAAGGAGGGCGACGAAACACGCTATGGTGTTTTTTCCGCGTCTCGGGCCACACGTGGAAGCTGTCCAACACGCAGAGGGATGCCATCAGGAGCTTCATACGGTTTCGCCGGGACAGGCCCGCGCTCTTGCTGGCCCCCGCGACGCGGGCAAGAGACATGCAGCCGAAGTACATCATGGTGCCGACGACCCAGTGCGTCGGGGCACCCGCGCGGGGAAGATCCGGCACCATCCTCTCCAGGCGGGCGACGCGCCAATCCGAGAAGCCATCCCTGACGCGGATGTCCTCCTGCGAGGCGCCGACCATCGAAAAGAGGACCGGCGCCGCGAGCACGCGCCCGCCCCACGGCGCCACCGTGGCCCCGTACACCGCGGCAGAGCGCAGCGCCTTCAGGAGATGGTACAAGTCGACGCCGGCGAAGTACGGGCGGGTTGCTGCGTGCTGCGCGGGGTGGCGGGCCGTCTCCTCGCGCGCGGCGTACGCGCAGAGGGTCTGGCGAATCCACGTCTGCTCCTGCGACGCCCCGTCAGTGAAGCCCGCCAGGACGTGGCATCCTGGAAAGCGTTTCAGAAAGGCATAGAAAAGCGTCGGGGGGCCGCAGGAATCCGCCGGGGTGGCCGCGGGGGCCTCGCGGCGCTCTATTGGAAGCCTGGAGGGGGTGGGCCCTCGGGCCATCTCGGGGCCCTCTTGGGGGCTAGGTCCGGCGCCGATTCTGGTCCGCCTTGGCCCCCTCTTGATGCCCTCTCGGGCCGTCTTGAGGCCCGCCGGGGCCAGCCCGAAGGTGAGCGGATACCCCTCTCTACCATTGGCCGCCCAAGGCCGTCGAGCCGGAGAGGGTCGTTCGGGGCGGGCGCGGCCCCCGCGCGCGAGAATATCTTGAAGGATCGGGGGGTATATATGTCCCGCGCATCCTGGCAAGGCTGCGCGCACTTCGTCCATGGTCGCCTCGTCGAACGCGCTCTCGGCGCTAGCGTCGGCCCCGCCCCCCGGCCTCATCTTGATGGGCCGGATGGCGTCCTTGGCCGCCCCCTGGGACACGACGTTCGCACGGGCGAACTTGACCTTCGACGCAAGCTCGTCCCCGAGGCCCCGCCAGTCCACCTCCTCCGACCACTCCACCATGTGCGCGTTGCTGACCGCGTCACCCCCAACGACTATGTTGTGGCGCTTGTTGTGCATGAGCGTCTTGAGCGCCACAATCTCGTCCATGGGGACAACGACGACGGGAACGTGGGCCGCCGCCGCGCCCCTGGGAGGGGGCGAAGGGGCCGTTGCCCTGATGCGCTCAATCACGGACGTCCTCCTGCAGTCCAGTAAGCAGGATTCGTCGCCTGCCTGGCGCTCGGCAGCGCGCCACTGTCGCAGCGCGCGGGTCGACGCAGTCGTGAACTTGAAGAGGGCGGCGTCGTTGAAACGCTTGCTGCGAGGGCACGCCAGGTTGGAGCCCAAGATGAAGTCCTTCGCGCCGGGGGTGTACCGAATGCCGTTGCCCTTGGCGCCGTGCTTCAATGTCTGGCGGCGCATCCAGGCCTGCATCGCCCCGAACACCGCCTCGTCCTTCAGCACGCCTGAATTGTGAAGGGCGATCGCGGAAATCTTCCTCAAGAACTCGGCCGCGTCCCGCTGAGTTCCCGCGGGGAGCGCCGCGGCGATCTTCCCCGCAGTGGAGAAGAACGATAGGCGCTCCTTGCACTCGTTGATCAAGTCCGTGAGCGGCTCTTCGCGCCAGTGCGGGCACCCTCTGGGGGAGCAGTGGATGGCCTTCTTGAAGAAGACGTCGCACTCGGCGGGGGGGCAAGGCAGACGATGCGCAGCGCCTGTGGCACGATGAGGGTGGACAGCCGCTTCAAGGTTAACTGGATCGGCCTCTCCTCGCTCTGGCACTGCCCGCACTGGGGCCACGTCGCGCCCATCCACTCCGCATGGTGCTCGGGGACCGCGCGCGACAGCACCCGATCCCGGTCCGCGCCGCCGCTGCTGCAGCTGCGACTGCGCAGCACTTTGATGCCATCGGCCGAGGCCAGGCAACATTCTTCGGACGCCTTCTCGAAGTGCACGTAGGCGTCCACCGTGAGCTCGTAAGTGTATTTCTCGTATGACCGCCCCGTCGCCAGATGGCCGCGGATCGCCCCCTCCGCCGTGCTGCCGAAGTCGGGAAGGATGCGCAGCGGGTAAAGCCCGCGGCACGCGGGCGGTGCGGGCGGCGGCGGCGCCGTCGCGGCGGGGGCTGGCTGAGGCACGACCTCGTCGCCTGGGGCGCCTTCCGCCTGGCGCGCTCTCGGCTGGAGGAAGCGAGACAGCGTGGACGTCTGCGGCACCTGGCGGCGGTGGCTCTTCTTCCGACACGAAGCCAGGTGGGTGTCGAAAAAATCAAACCGCAGGTTTCGCATGACCTTCTCCTGCCCGCAGAGGCCGCACGTCACGTGCCCCGCCCCTTTCTCGTCCACGCGCTTGGCGCGCGCATCCGCCGGCAGCGGGCACTGCACAAACACTTCGAGGCGATCCCGCAGCGCCCTGGCCCGGGCGTCCTCCGCGGCGCTGGCCGCCGGAAGGGGGCTGAGTGACCTCCGCGGCAGCGGCGGCCCCCCCTGCCCGCAGACCGTCGGGCTCCTCGTCCCCGTGGAACAAGTCTCGCTCGAACTCGGTGTCATAGTTGGCCACCTCGCCTGCGCCTGGGCGGCCCTCGTCCTGCTGCTGCCGTCCTTGAGCAGCCTGGAGCTGTCCTTCGAGCGTCGAGACATGGTGCATGAGCTGCGCAATCTCGAGGCCCTGCTGTTCCATCTGCCTGGCCATGATCGAGTTCGACTCGGCGCGCTCGGACATTTCCCTCTCGCACTGCCTGGCCTGCTCTTCCGCCTCGCTGCGGAGACTGACCTGGTGGGCAAGTGCTTCCTCCAATCTTCGATCCGCGTCTCTGAGGTCGCCCTCCAGGACTCTGTTGTCGGAGGACTGCCCCGACAACTTCTTCTCCAAGGCCGCCTGCTGCCGCATGTTTTTCTTCTGGCTCGCAGCCGCCTCCTGAAGTCGCGCCTGGAGAGACGCGACCTCTGTGTTGCAGGCCTTCGCCTGTGCTATCGCGGCGTCCCGTTTCTTCTCCGCGCCCTCCTCCCTGGCTCTGTGTCGGGCCACATCGGCCTTCCGCAAACCAGTTATCTCCTTCAGCCTCGCCTTCGTAGGACGCCGGCAACTATGCGCCGACGCCGGTCTTGCCGAGGCCAACCATGGGCCCACGATCGGTGCATGCGCTTTCCTGGCCCAGCCAGGTCAGCATGTACACCGATCGCGGGCCCAAGACGGGCCTGGACAAGATCGGCATGGATCGGCGTAGGTGCATAGTTGTCGTCAGCCGACCTGGACACGGGCGAGCTCGGCCTCCGTCGCCGCCCGGCTAGCCTTCTCCTTCGCCGCCTCCTCCGTCGCCACCTTCGCCAAACAACGGCCGTTTGCAGCTTTCTCAGCGAGCTCCGTTATAGCGGCCAGCGACACGCGCATCGGCTTCGCAGGCGTGACATCTGGAAAGACCGGGAGCTTTCTCGCCGGGGTGGCCGGACAGCCACCGTCGGCCGGCCGCGGCGATGCCAGCGGCGGCGGCGGCCGCCGGGCGGGGCTTGCGGCGGGCGGCAGCGCCGCCCGCATTTGCGCAGGCCCCCCGCGGGCAGCCAGGGACGCGAGGGTGGCCTCGTCCCCGGCTTCCCGCGGGGGGGGCTGGAACAGGTCTTCGTCCGAGCTCATGACGCTGGGCGCCCGCGGCTGCCCAGTCACCCAGCCTTCGAGCTGGTCTGGTTGGCCAGTGTTCGAGCCAAAATGGCAATGGATGCAGAGAGCCTCCTCATCGTTCTCCTTTGCCGCCTCCTCATCATTCGACGAGGCCGCCAAAGCATATATGGTTCACTCCTCTGCCGATTTGCTCGGGCCACTTGCTGGATACACATGCGGAAGGCTGGCGTACCTAGCCACGCGAGGGCCGAACGCCAGAAAGACATGCGGCAGAATGCGTATCCAACTGTCACCCAAGCTGGCCACGTCATGGGGCTCCACGTCGGCCATTGAGGTTCCCAAGAAAGGCCCCCCCGATCCGACAGACCGTGGTCCTCTCTCTTCCTCCTCCTCCTCCTCCACCTCCTCCCCCCTCCTGTTCCTTCCCCCCGCTCCTCGCCCTCCCTCCTCGTCGCTGGGGCTGGCCGCGGGTCGGGCCACGGTCCCGAAGCCTACGCAGCCCACAGGCATGTGAGAATGCAACACATAGCTTTCGTCAGTTTGCGTACAACACATAGCCTGCACAATACAGCTTTCACAACGTAGCTTACACCGCATAGCATACGATGCATAGCTTCCAAACGAGAGCTGGTTGGCAGGGGGCGGAGGTCGAGCGACAGCTCTTGAGATGAGAAGCGCTGTGGGCAAAGCCCCTTTTTGCTCTCTCACTCTCGAAAAAAGGCGGCAGAGGGAGAAAAGGAGGTGGAGGAGGAAATGACGAAAGGATGTATGGCAACTTGGCGTCGACCCAATGAGCAGGTGCACTTTGGACTGGTAACCTCCGCGTTGCAATAGGCGTGGTGCTATGCCATGGTATGGCATGCTATGCCATGCTATGCGATGCTACGCTATAGTGTGCGGCGCGATGCTATGATATGATGTGGTATGCTCTGCTATGCTGCAGTATGATATGCTACGCTATGCCATGCTATGCCATGCTATGATATGCCATGCTACGCGATGCTACGCTACGCTATGCTATGCTGCGCCATGCGCAGCTACGCTATCCTACGATATGCTATCGTATGATCTGCTATGCTGTGCAGTGCTATGCTATCCGAGGCCGTGGAATGCTTGGCTATGGGACCCCTCCTTCCGAACTGAATCCGCAGGACACTCATGGGGCACCCACCCCCGAAACGAGACCCTGGGCGCCCACCAGGCGAGGAAGAGGAAGAGGAGGAGAAAGGAAGGGGCGAGGAGGAGGAGGTAGCGGGAGAACGATGTTGAGGGAGACGTGGTGTAGGAGGACGCGCAATTTGGAAACATACAAAATAATCAACACAGGGTCGCTTCTGTGAAAGAGCCAGGAGCAGAGAAACGTCGGAACACTTGCACAACGCATCCTCCATTACATATTTCATGAATCTTCCGTGCGCAGCAGAATCTTTCATCAAACACGTTAGCGCGTGGTCTCTGAGCGTACTCCAAAGAACATGCAGCCGAAAATGTGAGAGGCAACAAATGCTGAGGGTACTCCAAGTCATGTGTGAAATCCGCCACCTCAAATGATTGTGGTTAAGAGCGCATCCTCCTCAAACCCTTCCCCCATACCCCCTCCCCCGGGGTCTGGACGGGGGCGGGCCCGACGAGATAGAGATTCCAAGATGGCCCAAGATGGCTCAATGAGGGCCCGCGCGAGCCCATGATTACCTCCAAAACGGCCCAAGACAGCGCAGATTCGATCAAGATGGCTTCCAACATGCCTCCAAGCTGGCCCAAGAGAGATTCAATAGTGGCGCAAGAGGGCACCGAGACGGCCCGCAAAACGACCAATAGTACCCCAAGGTACGCATGGCTCAATGTACATACGATTCAAGATACAGCTGGCTCAAGGTACAGACGGCGACGACGATGGCACCAAGGACGACGACCACAAAGATGACGACGGAAGATGGCCACGATGATGGTGCAGGCGATTCAAGATACACATGGGGCCAGATACCCGAAGTTTCAAGATGCATATGATTCCCGCAACAAGCGATTCAATATACAGAGCAGTACAGCAAGAGAGGAGCCCATGCCACTGGAACGCCCATCCAGTCAGCACAAGGGCTGCTTGATGGACTACCAGGAACCAGGGAGCAAAGGCCAGCAAAACAGCAAGCAATCAAAACCACCCCCGCACCCTTACCCCCTTCCAGAGAAAAGCAGCAAGCAAGCAAGCAGGCGGCTGGCCAGACCCTTGGCCCTTAAAGCCTGAGTGGTCTCCCCGATGATTTGTACAATGGGGGTTACACGAGTTCTGCATGTAATGGTTTTTTAAACTGTACTAAGGAATTGTAGTAGTACTAGGGAAGTGCACTACAGACTTGCACTAGAAGTTGTACTATTACTCGGGAATTGCACCAAGGAGTTGCATCAAGGACTTGTACGAGGGAGTTGTACTAGCACTCGGAACTTGGATCAGAGAGTTGTTATAGTACCACTTAAACCGGGGAGTTGTACGGGGGAGTTGTGCTCGGGAGTTGTACCATGGAGTTGTACTAGTACTGGGGATTGGCGATAGGGCGTTGTTCTAGGGGGCACAATTTTACCAGCTGTAATATGATACCAGCTGCACTCGAATATTTGCACGGCAGGACAACGTGCTCTCTAGGAACAGCTGCGCGATAGGACATGATAGTACCAACTTGTACTCAAGTACGAGTTGCACGGTAGTCGGAGGGGTTCAGGGGTTCCAACGGCAACGCGCGCGGGGAAGAAGGAAAGAAATCCATGCGCCGCCAGGGGTCCCGGGTTTAACGGGTCGCCGCGAAGGTTGACCCCCCGCGGAAAGAAGAAAAGAAATCCGGCCGGGGGGTTGGGGGGTTGAGGGATGAGTCACGGGGGCGATGACCAGTGTAAACCCAAGAGTCACCAACGATGTTGGAATAAACCTTCCCCCCATAAGCTCCCTCTCCATAAGCTCCTACGACGGTTCGTTTCCAAAGAAGGACCTGCCTGACAGGAAGACCACCGTTTGACGACCCAGAACCATGCCAAAACATTATTCTCGGCATTCCAGCGCCACTGAAAAACCTGAGTGTTTTGTGTAGACGATACGGAATCGTGCCATAACGACATTCCTGGGACCTCAACCCCGCGAATCATCGTAACTGTTGAGCCCCCAAAATCAAGAACCCTTCCAACACACTATTTCTGGTACGCCGACCATGGGAATCCTTGAAACCCTTGCAATTGTTTAACAAGGGCGTGCGCGGCGCTAAGACGAGAGACGCTTTTTGAAACTGATCCGCCCACAACCAACGAAACTCTTGCAATAGCTTAAAACAAATGTGCGCGGTGCTGAAACGAAAACCACATTATGAAAAGGAATCGCCCTCGATCAGTAAAGCCCTTGCACATTGTATAAGACGAATGTGCGCGGCGCTAAGGCGATAACCACAATTTGAAAACGACCCGCCCTCAATCCGTGAAACTCTTGCACACGTTTGAAACGAATGTGCGCGGCGCTAAGGCGAGGGCCACATTTTGAAACCGACCCGCCCTCAATCCGTGAAGCCATTGCACATGTTTGAAGCGAATGTGCACGGCGCTGAAGCGAGAACCACATTTTGAAAACGATCCGTCCTCAATCCGTGAAACCCTTGCACATGTTTGAAGCGAATGTGCGTGGCGCTCAGGCGAGAACTACATTTTGAAAATGAACCGCCCTCAATCCGTGAAGCTCTTGCGAATATGTAAGACGAGTGCGCGCCGTGCTAAAGCGAGAGCCACATGTTGAAACCCACCCGTCCCCCATCTGCGAAACCGCTGCCAAGTTCTAGGCTTCAGAATCATACATGGAAAGAAAGTCTCAGGCGAAACGCCTGGACCGCCCTAAACACTGGCCTCGGGGTGCGACAGGGAGAAGTTACTTACAGGGAAGAGGATTGGAGGAGGAGGAGGGTGAGGAGGAGGAGAAGGGGGAAGAAGAGGAGGAGGAGGAGGAGGAAGAGGCGGAGGAGGAGGGGGAGGAGGAAACATACGCAGCGTATGGTGTAAACTGCGTCGCCCACGGGACCCACGGGAAATACACCAGCAATGCGGGCTTGCGGGCACCGTGCTGGCAAGCAGCTTAAGAGTGCGACGGCGTTCTGTTCGTGAAGCCGGCCACTTGGCCTGGATTGTCCAAACACGTGCAATTGCTGTGGCCCGAGGGGTGGCCGAGAATGTCAAGGATGCTGGCGGAACCTCCCTGGAAGGAGATATACATGTCAAGGCTGGCGCCAAAGTAAAAGCTAGAGTGCAACAGTAGACCGTGTTGTTGCGAACGTTCAACCGTTGGCCGTTAAAACCCCACACGAGTGGGAATGCAAAGTCTGCCTGGGCCTTGCTGGGCTGCGATCCTTGGAAACTGTTCGGCCTCGAGCTGTCCTGGGCGACCTGTCCACATCCACAGGCCCCTCCAAGCCAAATGCTGCCGAGGTCTCTGATACGGCCGCCTGCGCGGAACACAAGGTGCTGAGAAATTCGCCCGTCTCGCCAAGCAGTGTGAACGACGGCCCAATAAAAACGGAAAGGCCACCTTCGCAGCGATCGAACTTGTGAATCTACACACAAGGGTAGGGCGGTAGCCCGACGGAACTGGATGATGCTGCACAAGCACGGCATCCAGAACCTCGAGATGCTGCAGGCAAGCAGGCATCCTGGGTTGAAAGCTCTGTGGGGCCAGGGGGCAGTCATCTCGCCAAACGGGTCCTTTGTTTTCAGACGCGCGAATGAACTTCGACTGCGCCGCAGGTTGTAGCGCAGGAGGAGAAGGCGGAGCGGACGTCACCTGAGGGGCACGCCTGTCGATCATCTAGGCACTGCGCGGCCCGACGCCGCCCGAAAAGTCCGCGGGGAACTTCAGAGCGTGCCGAACGGCGCGGCTGCCGTTGTAGCTCTCCGTGTAGGAGGAGGAGGAAGAGGAGGCCAGGAGGAGGAGGTGGAGGAGGAGGAGGAACATGAGGATGAGATGGAGGAGGAGGAAGAGGAGGAGGAGGAGGAGGAGGAGGAGGAAGAAGAGGGGGAGGAGGAGGGGGAGGAAGAAGAAGAAAACGAGGAATACGACTAAACATAATAATACTAGTGTGCCAACAAACAGTAGCAATACGAATGTCAATGCAAACGAAATTAATAGGAGTATCCAGGCCAAGTCTACAAGGAGTACAACTGAAAATAAGACACCATAATAAGGGTAACGGCAAAACGAATGCTACTACAAGCAGTTGTAGTAGTAGTAGTAGTAGTAGTAGTAGTAGTAGTAGTAGTAGTAGTAGTGCTAGTAGTAGTAGTAGTAGTAGTAGTAGTAGTAGTAGTAGTAGTAGTAGTAGTAGTAGTAGTAGTAGTAGTAGTAGTAGTAGTATAGTAGTAGTAGTAGTAGTAGTAGTAGTAGTAGTAGTAGTAGTAGTAGTAGTAGTAGTAGTAGTAGTAGTAGTAGTAGTAGTAGTAGTAGTAGTAGTAGTAGTAGTAGTAGTAGTAGTAGTAGTAGTAGTAGTAGTAGTAGTAGTAGTAGTAGTAGTAGTAGTAGTAGTAGTAGTAGTAGTAGTAGTAGTAGTAGTAGTAGTAGTAGTAGTAGTAGTAGTAGTAGTAGTAGTAGTAGTAGTAGTAGTAGTAGTAGTTCGTAGTTCGTAGTTCGTAGTTTGTAATTCGTAGCTCGTAGTTAGTAGCTAGTAGTTAGTAGTAGTAGTTAGTAGGTAGTAGTAGTAGTAGTAGTAGTAAGTAGTAGTAGTAGTAGTAGTATAGTAGTAGTAGTAGTAGTAGTAGTAGTACTAGTACTAGTACTAGTACTAGTACTAGTACTAGTACTAGTACTACTCGTAGTACTAGTAGTAGTAGTAGTAGTAGTAGTAGTAGTAGTAGTAGTAGTAGTAGTAGTGGTAGTAGTAGTAGTAATGATACTGCGGACCATCGTGGCAATACTAAAAGTAGAAATGCAACTCATAATAATTATCGTATCGGAGAAATATGATCAGGGAAGTAACCATACCATGAAGAAGAAAATGGATAATCATGATACACACACTAAAATATGATATCTCATAATACCAACGATACTCATCATAAACATACGGAGAATAAGAAGAAGCATACGAATATTAAGTTTAGGAATAAGAGGAATACTATTACTATTAATAACAAGCATAATAATACTGATAGTATTATTATGACTACTCCTAATAATACTAGTAATACGAATAATACTATTATTATTATTGATAATAACACTACTACTACCACTAATAATAATAATAACAACAATAATAATAACAATAATAATAATAGTAATAAAATAGTAATAATAATAATAACAATAATAATACTAATAATAACAATAATAATAACAATAGTAATAGTGATAATAATAATGCTGATAATAATAATAATGATAATAATAATAATGAGGATGATAATAAGTAAAAGATGCAAGCGAAAAGGGTTGAGGAGGCACGGAGGAGGCACGGAGGCACGAGGCCCTGGGCGTGCGGCCCGGCCGCCGAGGCGCGCCCACGGCCGCGGGAGGCCTCGGGCCTGCAAAACGCCGCCGCGGAGGGGGAACAAAAACGGTCCTGACGGTCCTGAGGGCCGGGGGCGTCCAGGAGCAGGGGCGTCCAAGAGGGGGCGTCCAAGAGGAGGGGCTTCCAGGAGGAGGGGCGTCCAAGAGGAGGGGCGTCCAAGAGGAGGGGCGTCCAAGAGGAGGGGCGTCCAAGAGGGGGGCGTCCAGGAGGAGGGGCGTCCAGGAGGAGGGGCGTCCAGGAGGAGGGGCGTCCGAGAGGGGGGCGTCCAAAGCGGAGCCGCCCCGAGCTGTCCTCCCTCCCCCTTCCCCGCCTCGCCTGCCCTGACGGTCGAGGACCGCCCGCGAGTGCTCGCGGTTCGTCGGCAAGCGATCCAGCGAGCCTCGGCCACGTTCGGCCACCCCTGAGGACCCCGACTTCTTCGAGGGAGGTTCGGCCGAGGGTAGCTGGTTGTTTCTTGGAGCTGCCTGTAGGGCTAGCCCGGGCCAAGCCAAACCCTGGCCGCGTGCCCCGCCGTGCGCGGCGCGGCCACCTCTGCGCTCTCGCGCCGTCCACGCGGAGGCCTCCGGGGAAGAGCGCCCCTCCAGCCCCCGAGCCCGCGACGCGCGGCGGCCTTCGCGCCCGCCCGCGCGCCCATCCCGCACAGCAGGGTCGCGTCGTGGTGCCGCTGGCGCCGGCCTCTGACAACGCCTGGACTGTTCAACCTCGAGCGGTCGCGGAGTTTCCATATCGCAGATCGTTCGAGATCCGCCGATCCTGGGCCGCCGCCGGCGTTCCTCCTCGCACGCCCCAGGCCGGGGTCGTCGCCGCGCCAACGCGGCAGGCACCTGCCGCAGGTGACCCCCCCCCCCTGCGGTCCCCGCGACCTGCTCGTCCTCCTCCTTCTCTCGCTCGAGCTCCGCCTGCATGTCCTGCAGCAGGCGCACCACCTGTGCGCCACTCAGGGGCGCCCGCTCTCCAACTCCGCAGGCGCCCGTGGACGGCGGGAATATGAGGAGTCGGGGCGGGCCCCTGCGAAAACCATGGGGCTCGTGCCACTCGGTTGCTGGCCGTGGCCTGTTGTCCTTGCTTTCATGTGTCCTCCGCAATGAGCTCTCCCCTGGACGAGGAGATGGGGGAGGACGAGGATGGCGAGTAGAAGTACGACCATGATCCTCCCCCTTTTGGTAAGCGAACTTTCGGCAGCGATCACGTGACATGCTATGTTGTCCAGCACCCCTCCCCCGCGAACCATAGCTGACTTTTAATGTTCGCTCCCCCTCGCTTGGGGGGGGCGGGGGGCATGCTTGCGCTTCAACATTGGACGCTGACAGATGGGCGCCCTCCCAACATCTGGGCGAGCTTGCACGTTTTGCTCATGTGCCCACGATGCCTTTCCGCTTCCACCTCCCGTTGGCCTTCCTACTGGTTCGACGCTGCGCCATCTTCTCCTCCCCCTTCTGCTCGCCCTCCCTAGATTTACTGAGTAACCTAGATTCGCGCACCGAGCCCCGCAACGGGTGGATGTCTTTGCGCCCTCGCGCCCTCGCGAAACCCCAATTGGGAACGAAAGCCGCTCCAGCCTGGACCGCGACGCGCGAAGCGCGATCATCTTCGCGTACCCTTGGGGCGACCTGGCTTCAGCTTCCTCCCCTTCCTTGTCGCCCTCATCCTTATCCGCATCCTCCTCTTCCTCCTCCTCCTCCTCCAACTCCTCCTCCTCCTCCTCCTCCTCCTCGTCCTCCTCCTCCTCCTTCCTCCTCCTCCTCCTCCTCCGCCTCCTCCGCCTCCTCTCCTCCTCCTCCTCCTCCTCCTCCTCCTCCTCCTCCTCCTCTTCCACCTCCTCCTTCTCCTCCTTCTCCTCCTGCTCCTCCTGCTCCTCCACCTCCTCCTCGTCTTATTATTATTATTATTAATAATATTATTATTATTATCAATATTATTATTATCCCCCACATCCTGAGTGGGGTTCTTGTTTTCCCAGAACACCCTCTCCTTCCCACCCACCTCCCGCTCCATCTTCCATACAGCACAATATTATTCCTACCACACACACCATACCATACCATAGTTTCTACCACACATGCCATACCATACCATACCATACCATACCACACCATACGTACCATACCGTACCATACCATACCATGGCGTACCATAGCATACCATACCATATCACACCAATGCCACACCGTACCATACCATACCATACCTCCAGTACCATACCATACCATATCATACCATACCGTACCATACCATACCTACCATACCATTCCATACCACTCCATACCGAAAACCATACTACTTACATGGTTTCGTGCCCCTCCCACCCCTCCAGAGGAGGCCCCGCCTGAGCGAGGAGGGTATCGGAATACCATACTATTTACATGGTTTCGTGCCCCTCCCACCCCTCAGGGAGGCCCAGCCTGAGCGAGGAGGGTATCGGAATACCATACTATTTACATGGTTTCGTGCCCCTCCCATCCCTCCACGGAGGCCCCGCCTGAGCGAGGAGGGTATCCGAAAACCATACTATTTACATTGTTTCGTGCCCCTCCCACCCCTCCAGGGAGGCCCCGCCTGAGCGAGGAGGGTATCGGAAAACCATACTATTTACATGGTTTCGTGCCCCTCCCACACCTCCAGGGAGGCCCCGCCTGAGCGAGGAGGGTATCCGAAAACCATACTATTTACATGGTTTCGTGCCCCTCCCACCCCTCCAGGGAGGCCCCGCCTGAGCGAGGAGGGTATCGGAATACCATACTATTTACATGGTTTCGTGCCGCTCCCACCCCTCCAGGGAGGCCCCGCCTGAGCGAGGAGGGTATCGGAATACCATACTATTTACATGGTTTCGTGCCCCTCCCACCCCTCCAGGGAGGCCCCGCCTGAGCGAGGAGGGTATCGTAATACCAAAATATTTACATGGTTTCGTGCCCCTCCCACCCCTCCAGGGAGGCCCCGCCTGAGCGAGGAGGGTATCGGAAAACAATACTATTTACATGGTTTCGTGCCCCTCCCACCCTTCCAGGGAGGCCCCGCCTGAGCGAGGAGGGTATCCGAAAACCATACTATTTACATGGTTTCGTGCCCCTTCCCACACCTCCAGGGAGGCCCCGCCTGAGCGAGGAGGGTATCGGAAAACCATACTATTTACATGGTTTCGTGCCCCTCCCACCCCTCCAGGGAGGCCCCGCCTGAAAAAGAA